TTTCTCTCATGGTATCAGAGCTTTAGGATCTACTTCTCTTCACAATGGCGGATCAGGACTCTACTAGCGTCCTCTCTTTCAGCTTCTATGGTCGAGATCTCCATTCCACCTTCCCTTAAGTTTCTCATGAGCAACCTTAAATCTTTGTATCCACCGTTCTCACTAATGAGAACTACCCTATCTGGCCACTCCAAGTATTCAAGTTGTTTTCTGTGAATGGCTTCAAAGGATACCTAACAGGACGTGTTTCTCCGCCCTCGACATCTCTCGTTGATCCCAACCCAGCAGTCAGCAAATCTTCATTTAGAGAATTTGATAGACCAAAACTTGGTCTCAGCTCTGCTTTCTACTATTTCTTCATTTGTCCTGCAGTGTGGAGTAGTGTTGCCTCCATCAGTTGATGTAATTGGAGTAGGTTGAATATCTTGTGCTTGAGGTTCATTTGTGTGCTCTAACAGATGGTCTCTACCCTATTCACACCGTGGTTCAGCATTCTCTCCAAAAGCTCTTCATTCCATATTGCATCTACTTTCTTATTTTCCAATATTGCTATTATTTTCCTGCTAAAATCCTTAATTTTTCATTTACGCAATTCTGTCTTCGTGAGGCTTACGCCTCAAACCGCCTTGAGGCTTACGCCTCACCTCACGGACGAAAACCGCCTCGAGGCGCAGTTACGCAATTTTAAACCTTGATATGTACTCCCTCTTTTATTTGTACATCATGTATTGTGACCAAGAGTCACAAATTACCTTTTCTTCCTTCTCAAAGTCATGTAACTAAATCATTTTAGTTAATACATTCTGATGCTTGGGGACCATCACCTGTTTCTTTGTTTTATGGCTTTCGTTATTATGTTATGTTTATCGTTGACTGTACTCGTTATACATGGCTTTATCTTATGCACACCAAGGATGAAACCATCTCAAAATTCAAACAATTTCATCAGTTCATCAAAACATCCTTTAATCAGTCCATTCAAATACTTCGCACAAATGGTGGAGGAGAATACACTAGTCATGCTTTTCAAAATTTTCTTCCTTCAACATGGCATCACTCACCAACTTAGCTGCCCATACACTCAAGAACAGAATGGTCTTGTTGAACGCAAGCATCGTCATCTGCTTGAAACAACTCGCACTTTTCTTCATGCATCACATCTCTCTCAAATCTTCTGGGCAGAAGCTCTTCTAACATCTAATTATCTCATCAGTATTCTTCCTACTAAAGCTCACAATCTTCAAATTCCATATCAACTTCGTCATGATGGTCACCTTTCTTCATACAATCACTTAAAAATGTTCGGTTGCCTATGTTTTCCTTGGCTACAACCACTCTCCAAAAATAATTTATCTCCACGCTCTCACGAGTGTCTTCCTGGGCTACTCAAACTCCCACAAAGGTTATCGATGCTTGCATCTTAATACCAATAAAATTCATGTCTCCCACCATGTCATTTTCTTTGAAAACATATTTCCTTATCCCTCCTCTTCTCCAAATCACTGTCTGACATCTACCGGACCACCACAAAATCCTTTACTGCTCACTCCTACCTTCATTCTTCCCATCACTCACAAACCATTATTCATACCACAAGCAATTCCATCACCTTCAAACCCTTCTACCTCTCCAATCCCTTTGTCTCCTAATAAACCTACTTCTTCATTCCCATCCTCCCTTGTACCTTCCACATCCCCACCTCCACCACAGCCAATCACATCCATACACCCAATGCAAAGTCGGTTAAAAACTGGTCACCAACGCCCCAAAGTTATTTTTGATCTTCTTACCGTCCCTCAATCTCCTCCCCTCCCTATTTCTTATAATCAAGCTGTTAAATACAAGCCTTGGCGAAATGCCATGTCAGATGAGTTCCTAGTACTCCAGAAGAAAGGCACTTGGACCCTTATACCTCGTCCTAAAGACAAACCAGCACTTGGTTGTAAGTGGATCTTCAAACTCAAAATATGCTCGGGTTGTCAGATTGAACGTCATAAGGCTCGCCTAGTAGCTCAGGGCTTTTACTCAAGAGCATGGCATAAACTATAATGAAACCTTCAGACCAGTGGCCAAGCTACCTACGATCCGTATTTTACTGCTTCTTGCTCTTCACGCAACTGGTCCACACTTCAATTTGACATCTCAAACGCCTTTCTCCATGGTGATCTACAAAAAGAAGTCTATATGAAACAACTTTTGGGTTTTGCCGATGTTCAACATCCTCACTTTGTTTGCAAACTTCACAAGGCCATCTATGATCTCAAACAAGCTCCCAGGCAATGGTACAACAAGCTAACACATTCTCTTCTTCAATTTGGCTTCATTTTCAACAAGGCAGATCCCTCCTTGCTTATCTACATTAAAGATGGTATTCAACTTTATTTGTTGATCTATGTAGACAATTTACTTCTCATTGGAAATCATTCTCAGACTATTCAGTCTTTGCTTAATATGCTACAGACTAATTTTGCACTCAATCAAATGGAATCTATCTCCACATTCCTAGGCATCCAAGTCCATCGAGAGTCAAATGTCCTGTTTCTACATCAAACGAAATATGCTACAGCCCTCCTGGACTCTATTGGTTTTACTAATTGCAAACCAGTGGCCACACCACTCTCTCTTAAGCCATCAAAAACAGCTCTTTCCATAGAACCATTTAGCGATCCTCATCTATAAAGGCAACTCGCTGGATCCCTCAATTATCTCACAATAACAAGATCGGAATATTGCCTTTGATGTAAACTTTGTTTACGGACATATGCATAGTCTGACGAATGCCGACTACTATTTTGCCCTCAAACGAATCCTTCGATATATCCAAGGTACCAAATCCTATAGCCTACCTTTGGTATCTAACAATCTACAACTCAGCACCTTTGTGGACGCTGACTGGGCCTCTGATTTATCTGATTGGAAATCCGTCACAGGATTTTGTTCTTATCTAGGTGCTACTCTTATATCTTGGTGTGTTAAATAGCAAGTTATAGTTGCCAAATCATCTATTGAAGCCGAATATCGCGCCCTCTCTTCAGCTACTTCTGATGTTCTCTGGTTACGTCGATTATTGGCCAAATTCTGGGAGCCGCAGCAAACTTCCACACCCATCTATTGTGATAATACATCGGCCATTGCCCTAGCTCATAATCCGGTCTTCCATGCCTTCACCAAACATATAGAGATCGACTATCACTTTATTAGTCATTACATTCACTCAGGCGCGATCTCCATCCTTCATCTCAACTAAGTGGATTAGCCGGCCGACATACTTACTAAACCTCTTTCTCCACTCAAATTTTTGAAACTCAGGGATAAACTAACCATTCGATTCTCGACTGATTAGTTTGAGGGGGGCTGTTAGAGTACACAAATAAACCTCAAGCACAAGATACTTAACCTACTCCAACTACATCAGCTTATGGATGCAACAATACTCCACGCTGTAGGACAGACTATCATTAACGGATTGTCGTTCTCTTCCTCACCGTTATCTGCTAGTTTTCCTATTTATGTGGTTGTATAGCATAGCGTAGAAATCAATGAAAATGAAACACTAAAAGCTTCTCCGTAGATTGTTCTGCTCTTCTTCCTCTCTAACCTTTCAATGCAGGTTTCTCTCAGTAAAGATATTTTGAATTTCTATGACACTACTGCGCAAACCATGAAAAAACCTTCCAAGATGACATAAGAAGGTCCAAGTTCAAGATGAGTAAGTACTATTCAAGATGATGTTTCCAACCCTAATAATTTTTTTCACTTATAAATTCTTCTCTTTTTTTGTGTTCTTGGTTAGAAAGTAGTAGTAGTAGTCGAGATTTATGTTGAAATGAGGCCAAGGAACACCATCCATATTAGGGGATTTGTGCCCAGTTCAATTTTTCATGATTTTGGATAGACAGAAGCCTTGTAGTCATTAGGTGTGTGGTTAGTGATTGAAATTATTATATGAGAGACATTTTCAGCTAAGGAGTAATAGGAGAGGAGAGATACTTTTCCAATGACTCAATTAAGATTGACTTATATGGAAAAAAAACCTGATACAAAGGCTATTCATAAATTACTAGATAAGCAAAAGTGATAACGACCATAATAAGCTATCCGGTAAGGCATTCCTATTATGTTAGCATATTTTTATTATTTGATAACTATTAAATAACTAAGATAAATTCTAATTAATTCATGATAAATCATGAATTGTAGAATTCAAAGCTCCCTCAAATGAATGTGGCCAAAATGTTCATGCTTTCCTAGAATTACGGAGTTAGGCTTTGACTCTTTCAAACTTCTCTCTGTGCAAGGATTACATTATTAATTTGTATCAAAGCCGTCATGTTACTACCTTGTGCAGCCCGAATCGATACTAATGATTGATCTTGACTTGGCTCTCTTCTAGGCTTAAGCGGAAACTTGTTACGGCTGATGCTGAAGCCCAGCCTCTTGGATCAGCTGGTTCCTTAGGCTAGTTTTTTTCTTAAAAATTAAAATCCAAAGGCAAGAAAAATAAATTAAGAAATTAATAAGGTAATCGTGTTGATATATGGCTGTTGAATGAGTTTGAATGTAAAGCAAGTAATGATGCTGCTGAGTTGGATTCCTGAAATATCATGATGTTCGCCTTTAATTCCTATTTTACAAAGAACTAAGCTTGAGGAGTGAACATTGAGATACTCATTCAAGAGAATTGGAGCCAGGTGTTACTACTCGTCTTGAGAAATGCAATAGACATTTGATGTTGGATGATGCTTCCAATGAATCCTATAGGATAGACTATGATAACGATTTGCTCAGCATCGCCAACTAATTGTAGTGGGAAAAAACTAACTTACACACTGATAAGAGATGCTATATCTGCCCAATTTTGTTTTCCTTGTCAATGATTCTGATTTTCAGCATTCTTCCTTTTGTATTTTCAACATGATAAAATAACTACCTCGAGGCATTAATTAGACATAATATTGTATAATATATACGTGGAGAAAATTAACATTTACCCTCTACAGGTTTTTAATCGTAAGAGCATTGGGGCTGAGTGTGAAATGTTCTTGTTTGACAAATTTAATCTGCAGGTATGAAACCAATCTATTTTCATTTATATTATACTTGTGGGTTAATTTGATTGGTGTACTACTACTCACTGCAGATTGATATGCCCATTGATGAGGCTATGGATACACTAATGAGATTGGATCTTGTTTCTGAATTTCCTGTTGAAGGAAATCTCAAACCAAACGCTATTCCTTGTTCAAAGGCTTACGAGCATTTAAGAAAACGCTGGAGTAGCTTGCTAGATTTGGGTTCATGAAATGCATCATACAGGTAATATTCAAATTCTCGTCTACATTTTGCCTGCCTGTTTAAATAAAATTATCAGCAACAACCTGAGGAGAGCACCTCTTTTTTTTCTTTTCACCTGATTATATGCTGTTGTGTAGAGTGAATCATTTATTTGGTATATACTTTGGATGGAAAATTTTGTTCTTATTCTTTATTCTTATTTTTTAACCCTTCTTAAATCAAGGTTGTTTGTCACTTTTGATTCGGTGATGTATGAAATATCATGTTATTTTATTTAAAAATGTTAATTGTTTGGTCTTCTAATATCTTCAAATAATATTTCAAAAATGATGATCTTATTATACTTATGTCTTGACATATGAAGAATCTTTTTACTATGTTTTAATATGAATAATATTGACATCTCGATAAAATAACACTCGATGAAATCCAAATATTTGGCGGATAATATTTGCATCTCAATAATATTGAGTCAAACAACCCCTTAATTGAGTAATTTCTAGCATATACCAAGACTCATGTAATTTGAACATATTTTTAAATTTGTAAAGCACAAAAGGCGAGTGAGTGAAATAAACAAGAAGAAAGAGAGGAAATTTGAGACTGGCGGCAGATGAATAGGTATTGACTCAATATCATTTATGTATTATATGGTGAGGTATGTTTAGATTTTCTTGTATGAAATTTTGAAAATGAGTTTGGTGATTTGGTTTTCGTTGACTTAGTATTTATACTTGAATCACATTGTAAGGTAGGTATCAAAATATTTATGTGATAAATTATGTGAAAGATTAGAAATGGGTTATTTGATTTTGTATAAATAATGTAGTTTGTAATTGGGCTGATGGATATCTAAGTTGATGTATGAAAGCTTAGTTTGCATGGGAGTGTATGACAATCTTCTTGAGTCATTTTGGAAGGAGTTAAGTATAAATGAAGAGAGAGAAGAGGAGAGAGGAGAAAATTATAAGAAGTTTGTTTTCACGAGTTTGAATCATCATTTTGACAAATCAAGGATACTTTTTAAAAAATTAAAGTGTAATTTTTTAGTATTGTTTAATTATTACTTGTATCTGGCCCAACTTATTTACTCTTAAGCTGTCTTGAGAGGTTTTTACTTCTTTTTTTTTTTTTTCCTTTTTTTGAGCGAAGGTGTACTGAATGTTTGGGAAAGGCTGGTTAGTATATTTTGTTGTACACCATAATTATTGCTGATTAGTATATAAGATCAAATCTTCTCATCTCTTTTATGAACATGGGTTTATTTAAGTCAAATTGCTTAACTATTGATTATTATTTTATAAGATCTTGATGTAGAATGATGGAGGGGGTCATTTGAATTTTCTAAAATTTCTAATTTATTGGATAAGGGAGGGATGGGGGCCGGCCAAAGAGAGAGGGGAGAGGGAGAATTGTTCACATTCAATGTATGTGTCCACATACATTGAATTGGGGGAATTAAATTCAAATACAATCATTTAATTCATATTTGTACTAATTGATGGGAAATTTTTAAAATTGGTGTGGGATATTTAAGAAAGATTTTAAAATTCAAATTCATTTGAATTTGAATCACTAAATCTTTCCAAATAAGATAGGGCTAAATTAGAAATATGATAATGGGGTAATTGAATGATTGTTTAATTAGAATCTTAAATTAGGAAAAAGATTAAAGATCTTTCAAATTTTAAAATTCAAAGTTAAGAGATGAGAGTTAATTGGGGAGCAATAAGAGGAAGGAAATTAATTAAATGGACTGAGAAAGAGGGAGGGAGGGTTAGGGAAAGGTTTAATGGGGTTTCCTAAAATAAAGTTAATTAAATTAGGAGGAATTGATGACTCTGATTTCCTCTTAATTTAAATTTGAATTTTGAATTGAATGGTTTAAAACTTTCCAAATATAGATCATGTCAAATTAGGAAAGATTTCGAATCTGAATTTGAAATTATAATTTGAATTATTTTCCCTCCCAATCTTCATAACCTAACTTTGGGAAGTAGCAAAGGCAAGGACCACCTTGGATTCAAGGGGCCGACAGCTAGGGTTTTGGGAAATCCAAAGGTGGCGGTTTGTGGTGGAGATGGGGAGGAGACCGGCTATTGGAAGAAGGAGAGGGTGGTGGCCGACGGTTGAAAAGGAAAGGGGGTGGGTGGCCGGTGGTGGGGAAGAGGATGGGAGATAGAATGCCAGCGGCTAGGGGAAGATTTAGCCAACGATTAAAGGAGGTGGGGATTAGAGAAAGAAAATAAACTGTGAGCCCAGACACTTCCTGTGGCTGATGGGTGATTCGTTGCCCTTCACTAAGGGATTCAAGCCACGAGCTCGAACCCATCCTACGGCTGTTGGAAACTATGATTCCCTCCCATAGAGATCTCACCTAAGTCCTTCTAAGGAGCAAAAGTGCATAACAAAATGTTATTAGAACTTCATCATACCATTACACTAACAAGAGCCTCTATATATAGGCCTCAGAAATAAAAGAAACTAAAATAAGACGATCATGCCCCTAGGGCTTACATAAGATTAGACCCTTAAATAAGGGTAAAAATGAAAAATTCATAATTAAAATAAAAATAGCAAATAAAAATTTAAGATAATGTAGGACGATCACGGCCGTCGATCTTCAGCTCCTCGGATAGGCATGGACGGTTGGATGTCCACTTCAGATCTCTTTTACAATTACTATATGATTCAATATATTTGTTAGTGAGTTGATGCTTCCTTAGCATAAAATCAAGTGTACTCTTTTCATAACATTTTCAACTTACAAAAGTTGTAGTTTACATCTTAAACTTTAATCCAAGCATGAAATTATCACTTGCTGCTCACTTTTGCTGCTTTCTTTCACTATTCGCTGTTCCCCTCACTTTGTTGCTTGCTCAATATAAAAATTATAAATCCTTTTAATAAATTAACTTTTTGCATTATGTGCATGCTTTAACAATTTACAATGCTTCCCAATAACAATATGTTTATTGTTTATTTTGTAAACATATTTCATTAATCTCCTCACAAATATAGTGTCCATATAATAATATACCACAATTAAACTTTGATTCAAATTTATTGGAGGCCACCGTTTAACTTCAATAAACAATAATGTCGTGGTGGTTTAAAGCAAATCATAGTCTACCTAGGTGTCCTCTAGTGAATTCATCGATTGAGTCAGTTGAGATCATCAACAAACTACTATTAAACAATCATTAACATGCCATATCAATCTGACTTTCTAAACAAATGTATTAGAATCATTGCATAGTATATTATGCTTTTTGTATTAAAATAAATGGAGGTTGAGGTACTCAATATCAAATTTTTGCAAACCATCATAGTATAGTTTTGAATATGCATATATTCATGAGAAGTTCTATGAGTCATATGGTAGCAGAGCTACAATTCTTTTGTTAAAACCCATAAAATCTTATGGAGGTCTTAGTCAAATGAATTCTTTCCAATGTGGATTTGGGATATTAAAATCCCAATATTGTTTGGGGGCATCAAAGCTTTATATTGGTTGAGCTTGAATGGCCGAGTGACGAATGATCTATTAAAAATCTCTAGAATGTATGAATTTTTTATCAAGGAGGATTTGGGTTATAAAAATCTTTAATATGGTTCATGGCATCAAAATTTAACAGTTATTTAGCCTAAATTTTTTAGTTAATTTTAGTTTACAAAAAACTGAAGGAAGCATAACCCGTGTTAGAACCAACAAACCCACAAGGAAGCATTAGTCGCATGAAGATTTTCAAAAAAACTTGCTTGTTAAAAACTACCCTGCAATTTGAGACGAAAAATCTCATATAAGTTGAGCTAGGCGATTAGAGCTACATTTGATTTATCAAAATTAAAAGGTGAAGCCATAAGTCTCTGGAAACCTTAAAATCTTAGGAAGTCCATGTCACAAGAAGCTATCCTAGCAAGGATTTAATTAATAAATTACATTAAAGAATATTGTTCAAATTCTTTGAAACACATGAAGTGCGTCATGTAGGTATACCAAAAAATGTGTAAATATATTGAAAGTTGTGCAATTAAGTTTTGCAAATCACCAAAAAATGTGCAATGGCATTATGTAGACTCATCAAGAAGCATGTGCCATTTAAAAGAAAATTTGAAATTCCCCTCATATGAGCTAATAAATGTGCTAAAAGCTCGAAAGAAAGTGTAAGAATGCTTCGCAAAGTTAAAAGCAAGTTTAATTAAAATGCCTCTTTTCAAACAAAAAAAAAACATGCAACTACCCTACATAACCTTTAATCATTTGAAAATTTGCAAGCCCCGTTCTTGAATTGAAGTAATCATATGTGATCCAACCGATACATTGAACTCCTAAATTTAAGCTTCAAGCTTTGAGGATTAGCTAAAAATAAAATAAAATAAAATTTTTTATTTTGGAAAGTGTGCAATTACTATAAAAAATTTCAATCATTTTGAAAATCATAAACACTTTTAAATCTTAACTCACATCCATGTTATCCAACGTAGTACATCAAACTCCTAAATTTAGAGTCTAAGAACGCTAGGTGGGTTAAGAATCATGAAAGAGTTTAAGCTTTATTCATTTAAAAATGTAAATTCCAAATAATGCATACCAAACCATATTCTTGCAAACATAATACGACTATAAAATTCATAAAAATAGTTCGCATTAGACCTTCAATGTCTTTTATAAATAAAATTTATTATAAAAAGCAAACTCTCGAGTTCGTCACCCATATGGTAGGTCACAATGCTAGCACTTGAACTTGATCCTCTCTTATTAATCAAGTAGAGTTAACAAGGTTCAAGTTATCAAATAAAGTATTTAAATATTTTGATGATGATCATGTTAAAAGTGAATCTCAACTAGAGATGACTCTATCTTTTAAAATGACCTTCAAATCTTAGAGCAAATTGTTGCGGGGTTTAAATTTCTACAAAATAATAAAAATAATATTCAAATAAAATCTATTGCCCATAAAATTTAAAGCAAGAATTCATTCATTCTCGGGGATTGATTGTAGAGTGATAATTTTGAGAATAACCCTATCTCACATAATTAATGTCTTGTCAAGCATATTGATACAATTTATTCTCAAATTACCTCCCGCTACCAAAGACTTGTCATGTGCCCTCTAACCAGTGATTTTGACATCAAATGACATCATATATAAACAATTATGATCGAAACCCTCTAATCTGGTGGTTTTGCCACAAAATTACACCATTAAATTGTGGTTACTAATGAAGCTTGTATGTGCCCTAATGATTATTATTCCTTGAGTAATAAATTATAGTGTGTACTTGATAGTACAC